GAGAGAGAGAGAGAGGAGAAGAAAGGGAGGCGGGAAAAATAGGGAATCTGTAATGAAGGACTGATCTCAGGGTAGGGAAGAGGACCCGCAAACCGTCATAGCAGTCGCTGATGGTGCGTCATAGTAAGTAGTAAGGAAGGAGTCCTGAAAACCGCCGTCGTCAAGTGGGAATGCTTGGGAGAGCATAAGTGTTGTCAATCTGGCGTCGATGCGATGTGGGCGCAGGGTTAAACTGTCTGCGCAAGAGGCCGACAGAGAAAGTTATCTCAAGTAATATACCAAAAATGAGATCTGCTGGTCCCTTGCTGATAGGACATCCGGTCCTGGTACCAGGCAGATGGGTAGGTACGGACGTAGTCACTGAATTCAGAATTAAATCGGTATCCCGAGTGACAAGTATAAAGAATATGGACATGTGTAAGAACAAATATGTAAAAAAAAAAAAAAAACAAAGCTCAAATTCAACAAAGAAAATGACCAACAACTATTCAGGAAAATTTCATACGCATGTTACGGAAAAAACTGCAAACTATCAAAAATGTCAGAAAACAGACATAAAATTTGCACATAAGTAGAATAATTTTATAGGATCATAAACTACGTAGCACCGTGTTCGCGTTCGCCTTAAGCGCCCAACACCCTCCGAATGCGAACATAAAAAAAAAAACAGTTTCCAGAAAAATCTGAAAAAACTATATGTTATGTAAAATTACAATATAAGTAACTTTTGCCTTGGATTTGTGTTCAAATTCGTAACCAATCATGAGTTAAAAATCAAAACCGAAAACTTTTTTTTTTTTTTTACGTAAACAAATTATGTTCGCCCGAACATGTTCGTGAGCTGTTCGCACGAACGCGCGAATACGTTCGCCGTGCTACGCAGATCATAAATATCAACCGTTAATGAAAAATAATTTTTTTGTATTGAAAATGTGAACCCCAATTTCGTGATTTAATAAAAGAATGTTTGTGTCAACGAAATATTGCTTAACTGATGAAAGACTCAATACTATTGCTATGGGTCCTCACCCTCAGAGAAGGACTTAGAATGATGATGGGGGATTGGGTAGTTCAAAATTTTATCCCTACGTTTTCCAATGCTCGTGTATAAAGTTCAAAGTGGGAAGGTCTGATGGTGAGCCTTTAGGCCGAACCTGCATTCCCAAGGATATGATACTCTCAACGGAGAAGGAAGAAACAACTCAACAAAGACTTATCTTGGACATACTTGATGTAGGTGATGGTAATGATTCAGATGGTTTATTTATTTACGAATTATCCACCATCACCCTACCCCTGCCTAGCCATACCTCTCTACGCCAACCCCCCTAGGTAAGGAGGTCCATAGTCTTGGGGACTCCATGCCCCCAACCAATACCCCTAAACCCCACCAGCTCTGGCCCCTGAAAACGCTCTAATGCACCCCTACCCCCTACCCCTTAGTACCCTTACCCTCTACCCCCTACTCCCTACCACCTGTTTGTCCTACTCCTATACCCCCATTCCCCAGTACCCCCCCCCCCCCCCCCCC